AAAAAAAAAAAAAAAAAGGGTAAAATCAAGAGATTATATTAGAGGAGGAGGAGACATACCAGTGGAAGTTGAAGCGAATCCTGGAGACCAAACTGGGAGTATGGGAACGTTAAGCTCATCAATTCCCGGGTCGCCGTCGTGGTCAGCTTCACTTCATCCACCCTCCGCCACATTACTTTCAGGTTTCATTCAAAAACCTACTTCTCTTTCATGGCCTTCTTCGTTTTCCAAGCTCTCAATCGCCATTAAACCTCCTCCTTCAACGCACAATAGAGTACGTTTTCTCTTCTTTACCCAGTTTCTTCCTGCAAAGAAAAAAAAAAAAAAAAAAAGAATCTATTTCATAAAAATAANAATGATGGAAATTCTACGATACCCATCGCGAAAAATCTGTGAAGTTGTTGGTGGTTGTTTTGATGAGGGAATGAAGTTGAATAAAATAGCATTCGAATCCTTGCCTTCCACTTCTTTTTAAGAGGGATGGCGTTTGGGATTTTGCAGCCAAGGTGTTCGACGGAATGCCTAGTCGAAACTGTAATGAATAGTTGAGAGTTAGTTAAGGAGTTTGAATCTGGGTTGTTCTTCCTGAGCTTCTAGAACACCCCAAGTTTGAGTCCAAGCTTCCACTTCCGGAAATGCTTAATAAATGAGATAGAGATCCACTGCTAAAAAAGATACTATTTGCTATTTTTCCTTCCGGAAATGCTTAATAAATGAGATAGAGATCCACTGCTAAAAAAGATACTATTTGCTATTTTTCTATCTATTTATGCAATTATATTTAAAGAATATTGAAATGATAGTAGCGAGTTGTTTTAGAATTGAACATCAGAGGCCATGTGAGATCCTATATTGATTGAAGAGAGGAGCGAGTGCTAACGAGGATGTTGGGCTCCAAAGGGGGTGGATTGTGAGATCACACGTCTTTTCGAGAGAAAAACAATTCTTTATTCGTGTGGAAAACTCTTCCTAACAGACGCGTTTTAAAAACCTAGAGAGAAAGTCTAAAAAGGACAATCAACACTAGTGGTGGACTTGGACTGAGGGAGGTTTCGATCTAGGAAGAGATATATCTCAATAGAGTAAAATTATGGGTACTAAATTGGACTGAGGGAGGTTTCGATCTAGGAAGAGATATATCTCAATAGAGTAAAATTATGGGTACTAAATTGAACAAAAGCAATGGAAAGAGGGAAAAGGTGGAATAATGAAAACTATAATTTTTTTCAACATTAATCACTAGTGTTTGTGGATTATTGATAAAAGGTGGAATAATGAAAACTATAATTTTTTTCAACATTAATCACTAGTGTTTGTGGATTATTGATTAGATGATGGGTTTATTTTTTAGGATTCTAGGTCATTCTACCCTTTGAAAGATGGATATCTTTACGAATAAATGTCTAAAAACCACATGTTGGAGGACAATGTCGTACTTCGTAAGAGTAGAACATTTTATCTAAGGTTTCGACGTGTTTTCATTTTGTAGAATTCTATCATTCAAGCAGCCTGGAAGAACATTTTATCTAAGGTTTCGACGTGTTTTCATTTTGTAGAATTCTATCATTCAAGCAGCCTGGACACGAAGATCTAGAGGAGAAACTTCAAAAAGACCAAACAGGAAATCATGGAAGCAAAGAACAGATATGTACATGAGGCCATTTGTTTTGGATGTATACTTTTCAAGGAGGTTCATACATGCCAAAGTGATGCATCGAGGAACAAGCAAAGTGGTGTCGGCAGCAAGCACCAATTGCAAGGATTTAAGGTATTCATTGCCATCGCCCACTGATGACAATGCATGTCGGATTATTGGGAACCTAATTGCTGAGAGATGTAAAGAAGCTGATGTATTTGTCATCTCTTACGACCCTCCAAAGAGTGCAAAAATTGAAGGCAAAATTGAGATTGTCATTGATGCCATTAAGGACAATGGTATCTTGTTCGTTTAACCTATCATATCCATCTAATAACAACCACCAATGTCTCAACTTTTCCAATGGTATCTTGTTCGTTTAACCTATCATATCCATCTAATAACAACCACCAATGTCTCAACTTTTCTATTTATATGCCTTCCAAATTAATCCAACTTGGCTTCACTATCGCTCATAACTTGTATTATAGTCCTAGTCTTGTAGTCGGTCTGGAATGCCTTTGTAGTCTTTCTAAGGTCTCTTTAAATTCATCTATTTACCTACTCTCTTAATAACTAAAGTTAAACTTATATCTAATAGATCTCTAAAGTATCATAATAGATAGGTTGATAATCTTATTAAATTCTCTAGACTGGTATCTATTAGATGTACAAGAATTTTGTATCCACAGTTGATAATATTTTTTAAAAAATGTCAAATATATGGAAAAAATCAGTTGGACTAGCTATCATTCAAATTTCCATGCATTTTAAGGTGTAAAAAATTGAAGCTCTTACAGTCTAGCTGTGGATGGATCATTTCTTTTCTCCCCTTGAATTGAGATGAGCATTACAATGAGCTACCGGCGAATCCTTGTCTGTATTATGTGTAAGAAGCTGTCAAAAGTTATATAATGAGGCTGCTTTTAGTTTTAGATGCCAAAAAATGGCTGAAGGCTGTGTAGATGGGGATGGGGATGGGGTGGAGCAATGCATTAAAGGGAAGAGACAATGCTAATAAAAACTCAATAGTAGAGAACCAAGACTTGCCTTTATTATTTAAATCAATGGATAATATCTCAATAAGAATATAGAGACATAGACCTTTTTTTTCCTTTTCTTTTTTCTTTTTTGTAAGATGCAAAGAAACCTGCTACTTACTATTATTACAAATCTTAGTAACAAAGTACGGTAACAATAATAAGATGCAAAGAAACCTGCTACTTACTATTATTACAAATCTTAGTAACAAAGTACGGTAACAATAATAAGAATATATGGTTAACTCCTTGTATAGAATAGAACCTAAACATCCAACTCTGACACAGCCACCAAAATCAATACCTACCAATAGAATAAAAAAAAAACAAAAATTAGAAACATGGAATTGAAGCAACCATGAAGGCTTAAAAATGGGGAAATGCTACTTATGCAGATTTATAAATTGCAATCATATGTCAAATAGATTCTTCCTTAAATAACAATGTTATTAGTCTATCAAGTATGACATTTTTTAAAAATTCACAAATCTACAAAGCGCAAAATTGAAATCCTAGAGCTGCATTAAATAGATGGATTTAACTTTTAAAATTTTCAAATTTGTTAGAGATCTTTTTGACACAAAATTGAAGAACCTGGACAAAATAGAAACAAATCTTATTATCATTTAACCTAAATCTTCTACAGGCCAAGAGTTTTTTTTTTTTTTTTTTTTTTCAAGAAGGTATCATCCACAAAAGCCGATCTGCAAAGTTTGTGATAAGTCTTACCTTAAAGCAGATATTAATGCAAAACTACTGGGTAGTTGATCTTCAGTTAGCCTGCAACAAGGCAAAGCACAGCAATGTTAGTACCAGTAATAAGGCATTGAATGCCAGAATGTATTACGCATAAGAAGACTGTAGCAAAAAAGAAAACAACAAGGGTGATTCAGGGCCACAAAAGGTCAGAAGGCAACAGTCTTATGCGTAAAGATTCAGGGCCGCAAAAGTTCGACATTAAAATTTTTTGTCTTGGGATGCAATATTCATCTAATTTGTATTACAAAACATTTATTGGAATTTTCCAGTTAAAAAACAAACAGAACTATGAGAAGACACTGGGCTTCCAAAGTGCCCGGCATCTAAATACCAGGCATGAAAAGATGTTGGACATTCAAATTCCCCACAAATAAACAGACCCTCGGTGTGAGTTTGGTTCTCAAGCATGGTTCAGATTTTGGAATTTGGCTACAATCACAACAAACTCTGTTGGCATCTCTTTCTGATGCCAATAAGAAGCAGAACTATATAGGCATCCCAAGCCCTCCAAATTTGATGACTTTTCTCATCAGCCTAACTAACGCTGAGTTCCAGCTTCTCTATTAAGCAATTGCAAGACTTGATGACTTTTCTCATCAGCCTAACTAACGCTGAGTTCCAGCTTCTCTATTAAGCAATTGCAAGACATGTTAATGAAAAAAAAATATACACATAGCATATCATCAAAACTTACCTTTTCATTTTTTGGAGTAAAAACAACTTTAACCGATTCAAAAACCTCCTCAATAGGCCTCGCAGCATCAATCTAAGAAGAGTAGAACATGATTCAAAATTTAAAATAAAAAAGGACCAAAAAGTACTGACGTTTGAAGAGAAAGAATCAGAACCTTCCGAACTTTTCCTTTGGATTCATAGTACTCAACCACAGGAATGCTCGACTCCAAGAAAACCCTAATTCCGAACTTTTCCTTTGGATTCATAGTACTCAACCACAGGAATGCTCGACTCCAAGAAAACCCTAAACCGCTTCCTAATTGTTTCAATGTTGTCATCCACTCTTCCCTGAATCATATCCATAAAGGAAATTCTTAACGTCAAATTAAAATTTCAAAGAAAAAATGTAAATACAAGAGAAATGAATCCCTTCAAACCTCATTCCTACTCAGCAGGCGCCTCTCCATCTCTTTCTCATGACAATCAAAGAACAGGACAACAGATGGTTCAATGCCTGTCTGCAAAACATCAATGAAATATACTGTTGTGTCAAGTGAAATGGAACTTCTAGCTTGGATTGTACAACAACCTCAACAATGAATTGTATAGAATGGAATTTAATTTTAAAAGAAACATTCTCAGAGAAAAGAGGAAAATGGCTTACAACAGCTTCAAATGCAGCACGATTTTCCTCATTACGAGGGAATCCATCAATGAGAAATTTGTCATTATGACTTTCCTCCATTGCTCGTTGAAGGAGCTTTATTGTGACCTCTGAAGGAACAATCTTCCCTTCTTTAATCATGTTTTGAATCATCGTCCTGAGAAAATCAAATGGTAGGATCAGTAGACAATATGTAATTTGCATTCCTGACATCTAGCACAAATAGGAATTCACAGTAAATTCAGAATTTCCTTCAATTTAAGCAATGAGACCAAAAGCATGGAATTTTTAACATTCAAGTTTGGAAACATATGTACGAGGACATATATCATACCCATTCTCTGAACCAGATTTGATCTCTGCCCGAAGAAGATCACCAGCACTAAGATGAGTATACCCAAAGTTTTCAATGATATTTGAACATTGGGTACCCTTGCCACTACCTGGCCCACCTGGTAATTAAAAAATCCAACTACCACTTAGAACCCAAAACAAAATGTAGCATAAAAAAATAAATGAAAGTTCTTCTCATAAGGAAGGTAGAAAGGAAGCACCTACGAATGAATTTAATCTTTGAAAAGTATACTTACCCAAAACAAAGACAACTGTAGGCTTCTTCTTCTCAGCTAAGCTTTCATTAGTTGCCTGCAATTTCATTTGAACCATGTAGATCAGAACAAACTTTTCTGAAATTTCAGGTCAAATAGTTCATCCAAGAAGGAAGCAAAGACAACCATCCCCACATAACTTCAGAAAAATCATAAAATGGAAATTCTGAGTAGTTCAATTGGCATAAATTTTCTCAATATAGGAAGTAAAAACGTAGTCAAATTATACCTTGATTGGAGCAGCATCAACGACAGTCCCCATCACACTGATTTAAAAATGAAGTGACTAACTACATGAAGCCAGATAAAAGTATGTCAAAACCAGGTTTCAGCACTAAAGCAAGGAGGAGAGACAGGCAAGATAAACATGGAAGAACATTAGGCTGAAAGCATAACATGCTAAAACTTAAGTGATACATGCAATCAAATCTTCTTAGTCTATTTATCCTCTAAATTCTCGAACATAGAGGAGAAGAGGAGAAAAAAAACAAAAAACTTAAGTCTTCAAAACATTAATATAAATATTAGCTTTCATCGATTTTTTGCAGATCCGACATGCCTGGCCTTAGTAATTTATTTCAACAAAGAAAACACCACGAAAAACATAAGCTCAGCATTTAGGATCCAGAAATAAAAACATGCACAACTGTTAAACATTCGTAACACAAATAGTACAGCCAATAAGCATCATTTAGAGAACAAACAGACGAAAGAACATGCAAGCCATAAGTAAAGACTTCCGAGTTCATTCTCAATTTTTCCATTCTTGGCCTACCAGAAAAGTGGCGGTAAATAAATTCAAAGACAGATCTAAGAGAATGGAAAAAAAAAAAAAAAACTAACTAATTTAAAACCACACAGCACAAGAAAAAGCCTCAAAAGCTAAGATTTCTCGATTCTCCACAAGATTTCGCAAGACCAGAAGAAAAACACGGCTGGATCCAAACGGTAGCAGCAAAACCAAGCAAATCAACAAAGAAACGCAACAAAATTCAAGCGGAAACAGAAGACAATGCAGAGATCAAACAACAAGTAACGCAATTAACAGAGATATAAGGCGAAAAAAAAGAGAGCAAGATTCTGATTCTTACAGTTGAAAACGGAGCGCGCCAAAGATCGAGAGAGAGAGAGAGAGAGAGATCTGAAGAAGAGGAGGGAAAACGCGGAAACAAAAGGAGGACGAGTGGGTGGTTAAATAGAGAAGGGATTGACCGTAAGAATTGGCACGTAAATTTTGCCTCAGAATGAGCGTTACGGTCGGTGGAGGGTATTCATGTCATTTCACAGTCTTGTTATATTATTATTTATTTCTTTTTTAAGGGTCGCGTAATTGCAACGGCTATGGTTTTCATTTATTTTCTTCGTTGGTTCTTCTTTGAGTAAATTGTAAGGGGCGATTGGATCGCATTTAAATATAGTTTTGACAATGAGGAAATTAATTGTTAAAATAAATGTAAATTTAATTATAAGTGTTCAGTAAAAGATCGAGAGCTTCTTGTAACGACCCAGATCCACCGCTAACAGATATTGTCCTCTTTGGGCTTTCCCTTTCAGGCGGTCGATCCACCGCTAACAAATATTGTCCTCTTTGGGCTTTTCTTTTCGGGTT